CAGGGAGGATCTACATTTGATTTTTATTGATTTAGAAAAAGCTTACGATAAGGTTCCAAGAGATATCCCTTGGAGAGTTCTTGAGAAGAAATGAGAAGAAAGGTAGAAGAAAGGTGTTGATATGACTTATATTCAAGTCATTAAAGATATGTATACTAGAGCTATTACTTGTGTTCAAACTAAAGGAGGATTGACCAATTATGTTCCTATTTTTGTTGGATTGCAACAGGGATCGACTTTAAGCCCGTATTTTTTTGCTTTAGTTATGGGTGATCTCACTGGACATTTACAGGAGGATGTACCTTGGTGTATGCTTTTTGCTGATGATATCCTTCTCGTGGATAAGACGAGAGAAAAAACTCAAGAAAAACTTGAATTATGAAGGTCTACATTGGAGTTTAAAGGCCTTCGTTTGAGTAGAACTAAAATTGAATTCATAGAAGTAATTTTAGTAGTAGTAGCTCTAGTGGCAGAAGTATAACTTTGGGTAATCAAATTATTAAAAGATGTGAACGATTCAGATATCTCGGGTCTGTTGTTCAAACCGATGGTGCTATATATGAGGATGTTAATAGTAGAATTCAAGTTGGTTGGTTGAAGTGGAGGAATGCTTTGGGCCTTTTGGGCCTTTTGTGTGATATTAAAGTACCGCTTAGACTGAAAGGAAATTTTTTTTTTTTTTAAGATGGTGGTGAGACCGTGAGACCTGCAATGCTCTATGGTGCTAAATGTTGGCCTTTAAAAGAGAAGCATAGTACTTCGTTAAGTTTTGTCGAGATGAGAATGATTAGGTGGATGAGTGGCTTTACACTTAGAGACAAAATGCGAAATGAATATCTTCGTGATATGGTTGGTGTAGCTCCAGTGACGGACAAAATTAGAAATAGTCGTCTTAGATGGTTTTGTCACATTAAACATCGAGCATATGATGATTCGATTAGGAGAGTAGATGTTTTAGATTCGACTTATGTTAAGAAAGACAGAGGTAGACCCAGGAAGACATGGGCTTATTGTATAAAAAATAATCTTAATTTATTAGAATTAAATGAAAATATGACACTAAATAAGACGCAATGGAGAAAAATGATTCATGTAGCCAACCCCACGTAGTGGGATTAAGACTTTATTGTTATTGTTGTTGTTGTTGTTGTGGTTGTAAAACTCTGGAAGGGAAAACTTCTCTCTATAATGCTGTGATGAGAATTTTAATTTTTTTTAAACTAAAAAGTCAAATAACATTTTTCTTATAGCCACCACACTTGAATAGATTTGGTTGCAAAAAATAGTTTCCTATAATTTTTTTTTTACGAAGCAACTAGAAAACAATTTCTGAAATAGACTTGTGATGAAGGTTTGAAACACAACACATACAAAAAACTGTCCTAAACATATCCAAAATTTATTGTCCAACCTGTACTATTTTGGATGATACTTTTTGTTGTTCGGTTTGTTTTTGTAGTGTTAGGAAATTTGATTCAATTTTTGCTTGCTTGGGAGCTGAATTTATTTTTTGTTTCTAGTTGAGTTTTGATTCTTTCTATGACATTAGAATCGAAAAGTTTGTGAATTAGGATCTATGATCAAGAGAATTGTGATAAAAGAGGGAATATCTAGATATTATTTTCATACCAAACACTATCAATTTTCTCCCAACATCTTTAAAGTTGTTTGTGGTGACTATATTAATAACTGGGTTTCTCTTAATGCACTTGACAACTCTGATGGATTTCTTGTTCTTTGGATATTCTTCACTGCATGATCAATGCATTTTCTAGTCCTATTCACATCTATAAAATAGCTGAAAATATTGCCTTTGTTCTCACTGTAAAGTGCTCGATAAAATTCACTTTTGCTATGAACATTGTAAATAAGTGGCTAGGAATGTTTTACTTGTTCATTCTTTCAATGATATTTGTTTACGAATCTACAAATATAAAAAATAAATACAAAAACAAACAGAAAAATAGCCTTTAGCTATTTGCCGTTTGATTATTTAGAAATCACCGATTGATGCAAAAGGAGCAATCCTGAGCTCATTCTTTCCTTTTTCTATATGAATCTATATGAAATATATTTTCTTATACACAATAAATCTGTGGCGTCTAATTTTTATTTTCTTGACCTTATTAATCCAACGACTCTTAAACACTTCCCAGTCAAATTGGATGGTAGTTTTCTATCATTTCAAATTTTATTATAATATTTATGGATGTTAGGTTGCCGAGCCTTTTGATAAATATGCCACCAAATTGTCTTTCTGTGGGGACATAGTAGTGCAAATCAGTCAACCTTTAATTTCTCTTTTATAAATTGTTTATCTACTTTAATATGTTTGATACGATTATACTGTATCGAATTGTGAGCAATGCTGGTGATAGATTTATTATCATAGTGTATTTTCATAGGTTTTTCTCACTTTACGTTTAAATCGTCTGGTATGTTCTTAATCCATAGAAGCTTGAAGATTTTTTGGGCATTTGTTTTAAATTCAAATTCAATACTATAGATCTAATACAACATATTATTTCTTACTCTTCTAAGTTACGGGATTTTCTCCCAATAAGGCGTAGTATCCTAAAGTGGATTGTCTAGCTACTGGTGACTACTGGTGATCCAACATAGTCTGTATTAGCATATCTTTCGATTTGTATAGTATCATACTTTTTATATAAAATTTCTTTTTCTAAGATTGATTTAAGATATTTATGAATTTTGTGAGCAACCTGAAGATGAGATTCCTTAGGTTTGTATATGAACTGATTGACATGACTTACTATGAATATGATGTTAAGTCTGTTGTGAGATAAATAAATTAATTTTCCAACTAATCTTTGATATTATCTTACGTTTACATCATTTTCTTTATCAACTATGTTCAATTTTTAATTAGTTTAGCTGGAGTTGCACACGGCTTGTATGTCATCATTTTTATTTTTTTAGTAGATTAAAATAATTTTTTTTTGGTGAGAGAAGTGTTCCCTGTACAGATTAAATAACTTCTATGCCTAAAAGTATTTGAGTTTGCCTAGCTTTTTTTGATTTCAAATTCTTTTGCAAGTTTCTTTCTGAGGACCTCCTCTAGATTATTATCACCAATAACAATTATATTGTCAATATATACAATGAGAAATTATAATTTTTATCGGAGGGTGCTTTTTGAAGTGTGTATTATTTTCTTGACTTTGTTTATATCCATTTCACCTTGTTCTTTATGAAAGTACTTTTGAACCATAGTTGTCTGTATATATATTTTTTCTCTTATAATAAAGCATTTTTCATGTCATGTTGTTGCATAAACCATCCAAAATTAGCATTTAGAGAAATCAAAATGCAAATTATATTATTTTTTGCAATCGGAGCAAAAGTTCTTAATAATCAATTTCATAGGATTGAGTGTATTTTTTGGTTATTAATCTTGCCTTGTATTATTCTAGATGCTCATTTGTTTTATAATTTATAGAAAAAGTTGTCATACCCAAGTTTGATTTCTATTGAGTGTATTCATCTTTTCTCTCATATCCTCTCTCCAATTCTTATTCTCTAGTGCCTCAAATAAAATTTGTGGTATTGTAATGGATTTGGAATTTGGTGAGGTTGAAAGGTTTGAATTTGAAATTTTAGGATTGGGCTATGAATTGCAGCATGAATGGTTTGGGTATAGTAGGGATTTTTTTTTGGAATTTTGGATATGGGGTAAGGAAACAAATTCGTAAAAAATTAAGGTTTGCCGAGCTTTAATACTAGATGATACCGTTCTAGGGCTCCTAGAAGGTGTTTATGAATGAAATTTAGTGGGGAGGTAATTGTGAAATGACAAGGGAATGAAAATATCGATAATCGTCGATATTTGGACAAGGATGGACATTCCACTGTCTTGGCTAAAAATGACAAAAAAATCACGAAGTGGTACAAATATTAATATGGTTCACAACCTGTTTCTGCACAAGTAATAGGCACGCCACTTACAAATGGAAATGAATATTGCACTCCTTAGGTATAAATCAGAGATATAATCTCTAAACATACCATTAAAAGACAAGTCTTCAAAAGCAGTGAAATGCTACCTATAAATAATCTTTTAATAGAACATAACCTAATTAGAAAGAAAGAAACATGTAATAAGTCAAAAGGAAAGAAATATGCTGAAAAAGAACAAAATCGGGCTGCTCTGTGGCCCTATATAGCCCGCAATCGTGGGATTGATTCTGCAACTTGCAGAGTATTGCGACCTGCAAAATTCTGTGATTTGCGAAGTCGTGCGGCTTTTGGAAGCTCCTGCGTCAATTGCATTAGTTATGTTTGACTTAAAATTATCTCCTTGGGCAAGTACCCACCAATAATCTACACAGTTCAACAAGCAATGATTGCTAATAAAGATCCATAGTTTACATTTAGTTGATTATTTCTGCTTATCAAGTAGACCTGGTCTCTGACAACTCGGGATGATGGAACTATGAGACCTTGATATGACTTATAATCATTCCGCTCATTGTTCGATCTAAGCTTAAGGAAATAACTTTTCTCGAACCTAAAATTAGATGACTTGGTTTCATACACTAAGCATTTAGGACTTGGTGACTAGACTTAATTGAAAGTTTTCTTTTATGACTGAGAAATGTAATTAACTATATGGGTTTGCTTTTATGGACAACTTGAATCTTATCATATTGGAATACTATCATAAAGTCTTCGTAAAATGAGGGAGAAATCTCTATGTAGTTTCTTATTGGTATCTAATTTGCCTTTTGAAACTTTGACTTGGAATCCATTCCTATAGAAGAGCTAGATATGAATTTTTTCAGCCCATAGTGCATGAGTTTGTTATTAGTTGTTTTTGAAGTATTTTGGACTTACAACTTTTCTTGGAATTCAAGGAATATTTCTGTCCGGAAATAGAAATTTAAAGGTATAACAATCCCAAGAAACTTTGAATAGGCTGTTTTTTACATAATTTTAAAGTCTAGATGAATTAAAAGCCTTGGGAAAAGAAATCAGATTTTGAATTTTATAAATTTTTAACTAAATTGAGCTATTTTTGTTCCAACCAGATCCACTAACTTATGGGTCAAAAGTCTATATTTGAAGTGTTTGAGGCACGCAATTGGATTACTTTGACTGAATGAAGTTTTTCTCTTCTAGTTTTCAATCTTGTGCAAGTTGAATGTATTTCAGTGCAACAAGATTGGGAAATCATCTCCTCATTTTGGTGGCTTGAACCTACTTCTGTGTTTTATTTTCATGATTTAATGTCTTCTACATACTTCACTATTGGCATGCTATTGTTCTTGTATTTATTCATATTTGGTAAAATTAAGATTCTAATTATTTGTGTTGTTCAAATTTCATGTGAATTTTTAAGATTTTTTCTATAACTGTATTTTTGTTTGAGTTTAATTTTTTTTATTTTCCATTTTGTACCTATGGAAAACAAGTTTTTGCTTGATTAGTGGTCTTTGGTGCAAATTATATGTTCTATTTCATGATCTACATTCATTGTATAATTCTATTTATATTAGGAAACCCTAATACTGAACCATCTTGCATCACTATCTACACCAAATGGTTGTGATAAATTTAATGACGAGGGTGAGAATGATGACGATGCATTGGGTTTTATTATCCTGTAAGGATTTCCTCAGATACATTTGCTTCCAGGATTGATGCCCTTCTATTTAGATGAATAAGTTCCTGTCAACGAAGATTTGCACTTTTTATGAGCCGTTGCGGGGAGTAATTTTCTAAGAAGAAACCTGTCTAAGTTTTCTTCCTTTTGTTAATGGATTAATAAACCTACTAATATATTTTGATTTATTTGAAACATTCTTAATTTGAGAATTTTTCTCAGTGACATGATTTCCTATATGCTCATCTTTTATAATTTGAATTTCTATAAGGTAATCAAGAAGTCATGTATTTAGTATCATCTTGATGACCATTTTAGCAGACATATTGTATTTGCACTTTTTTTCATTTATTGTTTTTTATTTAACATTCTCAAAGGGCAGTTTTACAGGATTCTAATTGGTTTACAATCTCCAGAAGGGGTTAGCAGTAGCCATGACATCCTACGCAGGTTCAGTGACTTTTTGAAGTTGTTTTCTGCTGTAAGTGCTACTTTTATGGAGATAGAACCTGCATTATTTGATGTTTCATTCTTTTAGAGTTTCTTTCGTTACACATACTTAGTTTACTTTTTATTGATTTGATAATATCTTACATCAGAATAAGTATTGGTAAATTGTAACTGGAAGATAGACTTTATATCAAGATAACTTGGTAGTGACAAGCATGAGCTTCTCTCCTACAAAGACCACACTTGATCTTTTGCAGCCAATCCAAAACAACTGATAAAACATAGGAGGGATTGTTACATGTGTAATGAAACTGATGCGGGGCATCGTTCGTGCCCTAGTTGTTAAGAACATCATGAGTGGCATAGGACCGGTTTGGCCCAGGCAAAGTAGGGACCGACTGGTCCTTCCAAGTATGGTGTTCCCTCCTGTTGGAAGCGGAGCCCACTCCTCATTACTTTAGGTGTATATGGGTGTTTTTTGTTCTGTTTTAGGGTAGTTCTTTGCTCAGATTTCTATTAGGATAGCCATCGACGTCTAGTTTTCCCCTCCGAGGGATATATCCGAAGGTGAGAGGTTCTTTGGCTATAGCTCATCCTGAGATTGTTTCTATCCGTCTCCAAACTGTTCTCCGGTTCCTCCCTCCGGCCAACAACTTGATGCTATTACTTCCAGCCAGCTTCCAACCTTGCTGCCATCCTCCCCACCAGCCCACACAATCCTCCCAATCGACCGCCACCCCTTCCCAACTTCCTTATAGCCTCCTCCACCGGCTGCCTTGCAGCCGGCGAGCTTCCGACCCCCAAAGGTCGCCGCCTTTGTTTCTGCCATTTCCCCTTATGTCCTCAACCTGACCAGCCCCACTCTTCGTTACCCGTTTGACTACTTGCTGCCCAACCTCGAGGAAACTGCTGCCTAGCTGTTTTCCGCTTGCCAACTATTTTTTATCCGTGCACCACCTTTCAAACCCTCACCAACCACCAACATCACCCCAGGAACCTTCCTCGTTTAGTGTTTGTGTCATATCAATTGTTAATTTCTTTTTTTTGGTCATTTTATTGTTATTTCTTATTCCAATTGGTTGTTTGTAAGTCCACATTTGAGTTTCAATAATCATATCTGTTTTCTAATTGTTGTTCGGGTTAATTCTGGCATCAAAAACATACATCCATTTGTTGTGGAATAAAACTCTTTTGTTGTCCCGTCAAGTTTTCATTGTAATTGATACCGCGAAAGATTCTTCATCCTCTTCTTGAATGCTTGTATGGATATGTGTTAAAATATTGGAGCAAATATTACATACATTGAACGTTTGTACTCCCAATGACTCAGATGCATGGGGGTCTTAGGGTTTTTTTATTTTTATTTTTGAGTTAATCTGTGTCGTTGGGCGTACATATGTTCGGCGTATGTAAATTTTTTTCGAAATATTGTGGGAAGAACATTTCTGCTGAAATCCATTTGATTCATTAAAAAAATTTCACATGCTTTTTATTCTTAGTTCATGGTTTTTTTTGTATTGCTAGAAATGCCCTTCATTTGTTTGAATCAAACTATTGGAGTATTGTATATTGTTTCTTAGTTTTCAATGTGATATTCTTGATGTATTTTATTTTGCACTTTAGGTGGGTGTGTTATCGATGATAGATGAAATTTACTCTCTTTCCTACATATCTTCCAACTGATATTCAGGTGTTTTATCCGATACTCGAAAAATTTACTTGATACTTTCAATAATTGAAACACTTTCTAATAGCATGATGCGGTTAATTCTCTTATTTCACTGCATTGTTTACATACAACAACAACAACAACAACAATAAACCTTTATCTCACTAAGTGGGTTGGCTAAATGAATATTTTTTCTCCATTGCATCCTATTGAGTGTCATATTTTCATTTAATTCTAATAAAATTATGATTATTTTTTATACAATATGCCCAAGTTTTTCTAGGTTTACCTCTGCCTTTCTTAACATAAGTCGAATCTAAAACATCTACTCTCTTAACCAGATCATCAGAGTGTCAACGTTTAATGTGACCAAACCATCTAAGTCGACTCACTCTAATTTTGTCAACCACTGCAGCTGCACCAACCCTTTAACGGACATAATCATTTCTCATTTTGTCTATAAGTGTAAAGCCATTCGTCCACCTAAGCGTTCTCATCTTGGCAACACTTAACTTAGTTTTATGCTTCTCTTTTAAAGGCCAACATTCAGCATCGTAGAGCATTGCAGGTCTCACCACCATCTTATAAAATTTTTCTTTCAGTCTAAGCGATACTTTTCTATCACACAATAGGCCCGAAGCATTCCTCCACTTCAACCACCAACTTGAATTCTACTAATAACATCCCTATCTATATCACCACCATCACTTTTAACAATAGACCCGAGATATCTAAAATGCTCACACGTTTTAATAATCCGATCACCCATAATTACAACTCTTTCACTAGTGGTACTACTACTAAAATTACATTCCATGTTTTCAGTTTTCAGTTTTAGTTTGACTCAAACGAAGGCCTTTAGACTTCAATGTAGATCTCCATAATTCAAGCTTTTCTTGAGCTTTTTCCTCTAGTCTTATCCACAAGAAGGATATCATTAGCGATAAGCATACACCAAGGTACATCCTCTTATACATCCTCTTATAAATGTCAATGTCCAGTAAGAGCATTCATAACTAGAGCAAAAAGATAATGGGCTTAAAGCTTATTTCTGATTTAATCTAACTGAAATTGGAAAATATTTGGTCAATCCTTCTTCCGTTCGAACACAAGTAACAACTCTAGTATACATATCTTTAATGACTTGAGTATAAGTTATATGAACACCTTTCTTCTCTAGTACTCTCCAAAGGATACCTCTTGGAACCTTATCATAAGTTTTTTATAAATAAAAAAAAATTATATGTAGATCATCCTTATTCTCTTTGTACTTTTCTATCAAAACTTTCAATAAATGTATAGCTTCCATAGTAGACCTGCCCGACATAAATCCAAACTGATTATGAGAATTCTTTGTAATACTTCTTAACCTATGTTCAATTACCCTCTCCCATAATTTTAAGTATGATACATCAATTTAATTCCTCTATAATTAGTACACCTTTGTGCATCCCCTTCATTCTTAAAAATGAGGACCAAATACTCTTCCTCCACTTCTGAGACATCTTTTTAGTTTTTAAAATAATATTAAGGAGTTTAGTAAGTCAAGAACTCCTAAATCTCTTAAATATTTTCACATTTCAATTGGGATATCATCAGGTCCTACAGACTTTCCACCATTGGTTCAACTTCTTTTTTATTAAAGCATTCTCAACTTCTTTTTTATTAAAGCATTCTCAACTTCTTTTTTATTAAAGCAACGGTAAGAATGAAACATTTTATTATTATTAACGATATTAAGATTACTAAAGGTCGATCACATTTTCAGAAGCTTCATTAAAAAATTTATTAAAATAACTCACCCGCTGCATTATTCACATATCTTAAAATAAATGGGGAGGGTTTTTCTTTTTCAATTTAGGCATGTAAAATAAATGCTAAAAGATGCACCATTCAGGAGAGTGGATAAAATAAATTTTAAAGGCGGCAAACTCCTGCAAAATAAATTATATCAATGTTAGATGTGGAGTCATAAAACCAACAACAAATAGTGGGAATCAAGATACAAAATTACTCAGAAAATGGAGTTGTTGACCTTACACTCTTGACTAAAACTTGACTGCAAGGTGACTTGAACTGTATTTTTTTGTGGGTGCTTGTAGCTTATTTGATAATGATTTTGGATCTTATTTCTGAGATTCTGAGATTGAATCCATCTAAGATCAATATTGTACTTTGGACACAAACTCTTCCCCAAAAAACATTATTTACTGAAAATAAATTTTTTATATAAACTAAATGTAATAAACATTACTTATATAAGTAGATAGAAAACAAATTCGAGTTGACTTCAAATATGTTTTGACTTGAATTGAAATTGATTAGAGTTGAATCATATCAACTAGAACCAATTTTGATTTTGAGTTGGCTTTAGAAGCTAAATTTGTTCAATCTCAAATTTTGTACTTTATTAATGATGATGATAGAAGGGAGGGGGAATGACAGATTCTTTGAGAGTTGCAAAATAGGAAGAAATTGCTTATGATAGTTTGAAGTTGGGTTTTGCTTCCTGGGAGAAGATCTAGAAGATACTATGCAGTGAGAAGCATTATTTATTAGAAAACATTTTGTTGTGCTTAATGAAACGAAATTAAGGATAATTTGTTTTGTAAGTGCATGATCCATAGTTGTGAAAGCTTCCAGAGCACTTCTGTGTGCCATAGTGTGAGAATTCTTATGTAAGTTTTTCACAATAATTAAATCTATTATTTGAGAAGGCATTATTGAATGGAAAGTTGATTAATTTCATACTGTGCATTAACCGAATGCACATAAAACTTATAACTTACAAGAATGACAAATTTATTTATTTATTTCCATTCCGCCTAACATCTTGGTTGATAAGATGGATGAGAGTATCAAAACTCTATGTTCCATTTCATGAAAGTTAATGATGTGGAACTCAAATGCACGATCCCTTAGCAGGTTTGTGTGCATCTTTAACTCCGTAGTCTCATGCAACCACTGCAACAAGCTTCTTTGTATTAGGCTTGGTAAGTATTTGGAAGTATTGTAGTTTACAACTATTGTTCGGTGTTTATGTGAGTACAATGTCTAGTTTTTTTCTACTATTTAGCAGTGCTTGGTTTTTTTGATAATCCGATAGTACTTTATGGTGTCGAGATCTACATTCTAAGAAACTTAAATTGAAATGGCATTTGAGGTGCTGCTTTTAGGAATTTTATAAATGTTAAAGTAAAAGATATAGATCTTGGTATGATAGTTTGAACATATTTCTTTCAAAAAATTTATTTAATAAAGGAATCATGTATCAGAACCAATTGAACCCACGATGTCAAATAATGGTTTGGTAGATTTGAAAAACTCAATCAGACTCAATTCTCATCAGCACTCATTCTGAT